GTCCGGGCCTCTGAGGGCCCGGCCGGGCCCGGCAGGCTCCCGCTTTGGCGTCCGGTCAGCTACCATCATGGACGGTGGAGGTGGGGCCCTCCAGTATGCTGACAGTGCTGCTGCCCTAGTCCCGGCTCCCCTTCCTCGTTGTGCAGGCCATCTTCGCGGTGCCGTGGTGAGACAGCGTGGGAAGCTTCATGTCCGTGTGCACAGGGTGGTGGTCGGTTTGGTGGCGAGCACCGGAGTGCCTGAGGTGGAGGATGGGATCGGGAGAAATCCCTGTTGTCTTGGCCGACATCGACGCGGTGGCGCCTGAGGGTGCCATTGAACCTTCCTGGAGGGCGTCGGGGCTACCCTTCCTCTTTTCTCACCGTGTACCGGGGGAAACCCTTGGCAGCAGCGTCGTCATCGTCGCGTCCTTCTTGAAGGTGTTGATTGGTACCGGCGCTTCGGAGTCTCGGAGCTTGGGGGACGACTTCCGATGAAAGCAGCGGTCGCGAGGCTCCGTCGTCTTTGTCAATCCGCTGTTATCGGCATTTGTTTCTTTTCTTTTTTCTCTTTTTTTTTGGCGTGATTGTGCTGCTTCTGCCTCAACATCTATCGTTGGTTGTATCGGATGTTTGCTTTGTAATACAAAGCGAGGGGAAAACCTTTTCTCTCGAAGTGTACTAAGTAGTAGACACGGCATGAAGCCTGTGATTTCCGCCGGGCCGCTTTTCTGGAACATTTTCAAGAATTTCACATTTTATGTAAACTCTCACGGTTGTTAAACGACTCTTTATTTTTCAACAAAGAGTAAGATATCTTTGGTCTCTACAACGACAAAACATACAGACCTAGTCTAGACACCGTGGTTGCATGCAAAAAAGAAAAAGATAAAAAGAAGAAACAGAAAAATAAATGACACGACAGACAGACAACGTACAAGTAACAACACCATCAACCGTCTTTAACAATGCATGAACAACAAGAAATGTTTTCTGAAAGCCATACCTTTAAAAAAGAGAACGACACATAAACGATGCCGTTATTCAACAACCACTGAAGATCAAATACTGAGTTTTCATCCCGACGAGCGCATCTAAGGAGTCTCCATGCAATGCTGTTAACAAGGACACGGCGTATAAGCACCATTGTAGCTATATCCGTTTTCTCTCTCTCTCTCTCTCATAAAGGGTGTGTATATTTAACTCATAATGTATCGTCAAGAGAATACACCACATAATGAGCATACATATGACCTCTTGGCGGGACATGAAGCGGGAGAAAGTATCCCCCTCCCACATCGCTCTCACGGGCGATAAGGAGGACAACCCTCGCGTCGTCGGTACTCCACCCCTCCTCTCCTCGCCGCCACCAGGCAAAGCTCGATCGACGTCGGTGACAGCGAGATCTCATCTCCCCTCGGCTGGTGGAGTTTGGCGCTGGCAGGCGGCCTCCGGGTGGTGGTGGGGGCTCGCGCGTGCCTCGCCCCCGCCGTTGTTCCTGAAGGTGGCGTGGTGGGTCGTGCGGGGCGCGCCCGTGGCTGCCTTGGTGGCTTGATCTAGCTGGCAGTGCCTCGGGTGGCACGGGGTTCCCTTCCACGACGGTTATGGATCCAAGCTGGAGCTCCCAGTCGATGGCAACCTCCCTTCTCTTGGGGTGCAGGCCGGCGGAATTGCTACCAATTCTCTCATCTCTCATTGAATAGCTTAGACACTCACTACTAAAAAAATTTAGTTATATAACTTATTGGTTGTTGAAATGAATATTTTAGCAACAAAAGCACATACTATGATCCATAATTCTTGTCGTGAGAGAAGAACGACATTATTTCATGCCAATTGCGACGGAGGCTTTTCTGGTTGACACCTCCAGAAGGCGCGACACTAAAATTACCCACATGTAACACACACAAAGAAAAATCACACACATGTAACCCCGTCAAATCAAACAAAAAGCTACTCCATCCGTTTCAAATTACTCGTCGCAGAAATGGATGTATCTAGAATACGACGGAGTGTGGGGATGCCTTTGCTTTATGGACATGATTCGTTTTTCTTTTTGGTGAGGAAAGGACATGATTCGTTATTATTGCCCCCCATCTCCATGGAAGCTCCTCCACTTGTCCTGCTCTATCCCATCTAATCCAGATCTGACGGCCTACGGGACACGGTCACGCTGATCCGACGGGCGTTCCACCGCCAAGATCTCATCTTCCTTTTCCCATTAACCCAGCCCCAGCAGCAAGAGGAAGGAACTTGGCGCTCCTGACACCCCCTTTACCCCCAACCTTCCGTGTGTTGCATCGTCTATAAAAGTCCGGGGAAGCGAGGCTCGTTGGAAAAGGGACAGTCTTCTGGAGAAGGAAAGGGCGAGGTTGCGTCCCGCTCATCCACTTGGCTCTGCTCGCATCTTCCTTCCTTGTCGATTCCGATTCCCCTCGCTAGCTAAGGGAAGGGAAGGGAAGGGAAGGGATCCCGACGACGATGGGGGAGGACGGGCAGATCCGCCGCGACAGGGTCATCATCGACACGGATCCCGGCATCGGTGCTCTCCTTAATCCCTCCCTCCCTCCCTTCTCCATTGTTTCTCTCTCTCTCGCTTCGATTCTCTGCTAGTTCCCCCCTTTCCCACCTGTTGTTGACATTAATGGATGGATGGAGAGGAGTGTGCTTGCTAGGCAGAAATTACGCTTCGTTATCATATTCTAACATCGCGTACCACGAAAGCTCCACTTTGCTGTTACTTTACCACTCTGCTCGCACGTGGTTGGGTTATGTATGGCGTTTCAACCCAGCCTGCCGACGAAAGCGACGGTGCCGTGCCGTGCCACCATCTACGACGGTTTGTCGTCATACCCCCTTCTTCAGTGGAGTCGAGTAGCAAAAACAATGCAATTGTGGTTCAGTTTTCTTCTGCAAGTGGAGTACTAGTACTTACTTAATTAGCACCGAACTGCACGATCCGTTCGCTAGTTTACGGCGCCGTAATTGATGCTAGTATGAGAGTTGTATCTTCTCGCGAACATAGTGACATCGATTTCAGCAACGTTGTTGGATACAACTTTTATGGTTGGCAAACGTAGAGGTTGTGTCAATTATAATTCGGATTGGAGGGAGTATTATTTATGCTTCTTACCAAGTTCCAGCAATCCAAACTATATTATTGCCTTTGCCACAAGTTCACAGCTAAGCTTCCAGTTATATGATCAACAACAATAGGATGCTGGTGTACATACTTTTCAAATGTTACACTGGCTTTCAATGTCAACGGCTTCGTACCAGTATGCTGCATGCGCAACTCAAACCACAGTCTGTACTGTTACTACTACACGATATCTCCTTCTCAAAACGAAACAAAACAAAACAAAAACCCTCACCTGTAGAAAGCTATTATTCCCTATTTATTCTCACTGCCTGCTTTCTCTGATTTCTAGATGACAGCATGACGATCCTAATGGCTTTTGGAGAACCAAGTGTGGAGATCATTGGGCTGACAACCATATTTGGCAACGTCACTACCGAGTATGCTACACGCAATGCGCTCTTGCTGGTGAGCGTCGGGCACTGTTGAGTTTTGCTTCTTCCGATTCTTGCTTTTGCTAACCGTTTTGAGTCTTCAAAGGACAGTGTGAGAGAGCAGGGCATCCTGAGGTTCCAGTAGCAGAGGGCAGCCCGGAGCCTCTTAAGGTACGATGGCAATTCTGTACATTTCAAACTTCACGATGGCTTTGCAACTGGATGTTTCTTGTTTAGTTGATGCTAGTGTGCATTTTGTATTATCAATTAAAAATGACTCTTGAGTGCCTACTGGATTATTATCCATCAAAAGCATTTAGCTAAGGTCAAGTAATTGATTGTACAAGATGCCATTTCGTATTTGCACTAGTGGGTGTTTTCTTTTTCCTACTTGCTCTACATGTCATATTATTAGCTCATTGATAGATAGTCGGTAGCGTGGCATGTAACATGAGCCTACATATTTTATATGGTAGATGGAGTTCAGAATTGAGACCTCCAATAATACTATGTTAAACTACAGTTTCGGTTGGCCAGCTGAATGACATGACTTTTGTATTATAGGGAGGAGAGCCACGCGTTGCTGACTTTGTTCATGGATCCGATGGTCTTGGTAACTTGTCTCTTCCTGCACCTACTACTAAGAAGGTTGAGGAAAGTGCTGCCGAGTTCATGGTTAATAAGGTCTCTCAGTTTCCTGGAGAGATATCTGTACTTGCATTGGGACCCCTGACAAATGTCGCATTGGTATGCTTACAGTTACAGGATAAAGCTATTTACCATGCTGTGCATCCCATGCCAGGGGCTAAGAGATAGCTTGTATTCTTTGTTAGGCCATCAAAAGGGACCCGTCATTTGCAAGCAAGGTCAAAAAAATAGTCGTGCTGGGTGGAGCTTTCTTCGCAGCTGGAAATGTCAACCCTGCTGCTGAAGCAAATGTATAGTCATGTGTACTAAACATTGGTGCATTATTTATGAACAAGCAGAAACAACAACACAAGCATTAAACTTTGAGTGTACAACTGTGCAGATCTATGGAGATCCGGATGCAGCGGATGTAGTTTTTACATCAGGAGCAGATATTGATGTGGTTGGCATTAACATAACAACTCAATGCTGTTTTACAGGTTTGTTCCTTGATACCAGTGTCGTCTTCATAGCTCAACTTGTATGAGTATGGGGGTTAACTACTAGCCCGCCGTGTGAAACTTCTTTTATGCAGATGAGGATCTCTTGGAACTGAAAAACTCAAAAGGGGTGCACGCACAGTTCTTGTGTGACATGTGCAAGTTCTACAGAGATTGGCATGAGAAGTCTGACGGCTTCCAAGGTATATTGTAGCCCTGTCTTTTCGGTATGCTTTTGCTAAAGTTGCCGCTGAATCTTCGAAGCCAGTTTCACTTCCAACTGATTCATGCATTCTATCCAGGGATTTTCCTACATGATCCTGTGAGCTTTACAGCCTTAGTTCACCCTGAGTACTTCACATTCAAGAAGGGTGTTGTGAGAGTCGAGACCCAGGGCATTTGCACCGGCCATACTTTGATGGATCATGGATTGAAAAAGTATGTATATCATATTTACTATATCTGAGTAAATCACATTAGCTCTACCTACTCAAGTGTTTCAACATTCTTACAAACATATTAATCTGGTGATTTAAGTGTCGCACGTGCCCAGTCCACTGGGTTAAATTCTAACTAGAATGTCATTTCTGAGTATTCAGTTGTAGATGCAAGATATTGATTGCTCGTTCACACTACATTGCAGGTGGAATTCAGAAAATCCATGGTCGGGTTATGCACCAATTTCAGTTGCATGGACAGTCGATGTGCCAAAGGTCCTTGCATATGTGAAGAAGCTGCTGATGGCGCCCTGAGAATAGAACCAGAGGTCTATTCTGACTCTTTGAGCTGAAGTGTAATGGTTCAGGTCAACTCTCATGGCCAAAGCATTTTTTTTTTCTGTTTTTAGAAGCAAGCATAGGAGGAAGGGAAGCTTCCTAGTGCAAATCAAACTATGGGGTAAATTCTGCATATGACAGCATTGTGACAACATTGATTCCAAATATTTATATATACTAAGTACATTACAAATTTGGGAAAAACTTCCCCATACTCGTTGCTTTGTGCCCATCTTGTGTCTTTGTTTAGCAGGCATATCTTTGCACATGTTTAGACAAATGAGGAAGATCTATTTGCTCATGTTTGGCCGTGTCGGGCTAAACCTGATCTGCCCATGAGAGGTCGAACTGAACATGATTTGGCACTACTTCCTACTTATAGTTGCCTGCACATTTTAGGCCCTTTTTTTGGAACTGTTTCTGTGTGGGAACGAACCGATTGCCATGCATTTTTTTGTGTGAAATTCCTGTGCTTCAAACATGACATGAATACATATATTTTATCATCCCAGCTCATTTCAAGACATGAGCAAATTACACAAACCTGAACATATAATTCAAGAATACATGCTTGTTTTTTTTGTTTTTATCACCGATCAATGATGTCCTTCTCCAACATAATAATCTAGCCGGCATGTGAAAAGTCTTCCTTGTTTTTCCATCACATACCCATGCAAGAAGAACACGCGCGATGTGGTTTTTGGCTTTGTGGAGAAGATAAGGTGCATATATCTTGATAAATTTTGCTGTGGTTTTACTTGAGCACATACTTGAGGACACCCGGTATGTGGATTTTGTAGAAGTAGTCGTTCCAGTCGACGGTCTTGGGATCAAAATTGAACATGTCATCCTCCGGGCTTGTCTTGGTCATGGTCAATCGCAGCCGCTCCAAGTTGATGTCGTCGAAGCTTGATTCATTCATTCAATGGTTGGACAAGTAAAGAAGATGAGACGTGAAGGACATGCTATGTTGGAATTGACAATGAAGGTTGGACTAGCAGTAGTTTGTGACGCTTGCTTACCATCCTTTGAATAAGGCGAAGGGACCGTAGACGTCGACGAGATGCATGACGAACTTGTATTTCCGGTTGAGATCGTCGTAGAGTTGCGACAAGAGGCCGCAGAGGAGCAGGTTCACCACGTGCAGGATCTGCACACACCATTAAATTTCATTCATTCTAAGATTAGTAAACTTTTTTTTAGACGAACATATTTTCTTCTTGGATTGATTGCCTTAGACAGAGAAGAGAAGAGAAAAGAAACGAGAGACGGACCTCGAGTGGCAGCTTGTACTTGATGAGCATGTACAAGTGGAAGCTGGCGATGGTCTTGAAGAAGTGCATCTCCTTGGTGGGGATGACCCGCCCGTCCTTGCTCAGCCTGGGGTTCTCGTAGAAGTGCCGGCGGCCGGACTCGTAGAGCACGCCGTAGGGGGCCGGGTTGCGCAGCGAGGAGGTGGCGTGGTACATCACCTCCGCGCCCTGCTCCTCCGAGTGCGCCACCATGGCCACCATCATGGCGTTGGCCACCATGTCCCCCGGGATCACGTCCATGGTCAGCTCCAGGTCCGCCAGGAAGCACGACAGGTTCTGCTTGGCGTAGCCGATGATGATGGTGTCGATGGTCCGCGTCCCCTGCATCCACCCGGGGAGCGGGTCCCTGAGGATGCTGGTGATGATGCTGGGCCGCAGGATCACCACCGGGATGGCGCCGTGGAGCTGCCCCAGCAGCATCTCGCCCATGGCCTTGGTGAACACGTACGTGTTGGACCACCCGAAGTGGCGGGAGCGCTCCAGCCCCAGCTCCTTCATGCCTTTCCGCTCCCTTTTGGTCTTGTCGCCGCCGCCGCCGCCGTCCTGCCGCTCTAGCTCCTTCTTCACGTCGCCGGCCAGCCGCAGCTCGGCGTCGATGTCCAGGTAGGTGCCTTCCCTCAGGGTCTCCCCCTTCTTGAACGGCCTCTCCATGATCAGCCCTTCCCTGTCGCCGGCTGCAAATGCTGCGGCATCCAACATTTTCTCTCTCTCTCTCAGCAATTCAGCTCAGCATTTTTCGACACAAATCCAACAAGAGAAAAGTGCTGACCGGTGGAAACATGGAGGAGCATCTTGAGATTGGCACACTTCTTGGCGAACTGGCACAGGTACTTCACCCCCATCACATTCACATCCAACGCAACGTCATATCTGCAAATTAATACTAGTAGTATGAGTTAGTAGAAAACTAACCTTAGTTAAGTTGATATAATTGACGATGATTTCCTCCGTTTATAAAAGTGAAGCTGTATATAAATTTAAATTTTGGTGGGGACCTTTCGTAGAAGTTGGTGGTTGCAGCTCCATTGACGATGATGTCGACCTCGTTGGCCAGCTCCTCCAACCTGGGAGCATCTAGCCCCATGTTCTCGAAGACGACGTCACCGGCCAAAGGGACAACCTTCTCCTCCACAAACAGCTCGAATCCTCCCTTGCCATGCTTCTCTTTCAGGAGGCAGAAGAGCTCAGTGTCTGTCACCTGAACCATCAAATAAGCGTTTCGTCCTCATTTTGCTGAAAACTCAGTTTGCACTGTCTGTACTATTTCTTTAGTAATAACCACACATGCCATTCGTGGATGATTAATCGTGCGTTGCGACGTTTCAGAGGTGGATAGAAAAAAAAAGAGTAAAACATACTCCTCCTACTACATACGATTGGACGAAGGACGACCGGACAGACAAACCTACCAGTTGCCACAAGAGGGTCGCCACCAAAGATCTCGGAGATGATGTGGGTATACTAAACTGCACATGCCCTTCGCTGCAGTACAGTAATAAGTATGAACACGCACATACCCCGTAGTGGTGAATTGCTAGCACTAGCGGTACCACTGCCAGGCAGGGGATCTATCCTTCCCTATCTTTACCCCTCTCTCTGGGCTGTTTTTTTTTTTTTGGTATTGAATTGGTCTGGGCTGAATTATTAGCCCCTTTTTTAATGGTGTGTGTAGGGTACGCGTGAACTTTTTTGTTTTGTTTTTGTTTTCTGGGAGGGTATGCGTGAAGGGATGAACTCAAATCAACCGACTCCCCATTTGGCTCATTCATTTGGTGTGCCTAGTCGTAAGCCCATTAGGGCATGTATACAATGATGGCATATGGATATACATGCTCCATGATAAAAAGTAGTTTGAGACATCTATATCTATTTTTTCTTCTCAATGCAAGCTATTATTAGTGGGTCTCATTAAGAAATAAAAAATAAAGACTCCAGTACACATGGATCTTTACTTTTCACTCCAACATTTTGAACTTTTGACATCGGACTACATTTTTTTCTTTCCAAGCACCCGTCTTCTGAAGAGGATCATGCTTCCCTATCCGAGCCTACTTTACCTGATATCCGATCCTACATGGCATGCGAGGCATCACCTTGGAGCTATGCATTGTACATGCCCTTACTTATCCTTGTAGGACAAACCTTAAAAGTTCTCCTTTTCGCAAAAAAAGCTTAAAGGTTCTCCATTCTTACATCGCAAAAAACAAACAAAAAACAAAGCTTCACTATATAATAAAATAGTTTCAAAACTTGTGCAACGTCAAACACCGTCTACTATAGTACTCCTTGTTTCTCTGAGCGATTGACCACGTTTGGCACTGAGACATGAGTTATGATAATCAAGCTTCCAGATCAACGTTTGCCTCTCTCTTGTCCGGTGAGTAACCGACTTTTCTCATAACGGATTAGTATATGCAAAACATAGTTCAGCAACCACAAATTTAGCTTAAGTCACAATTGAATAAGTGAGCACCTGGCCTGTCGGTTGGAGCCCTATACATGGGATGCTCTTGAACCCTAGGCATGGATCTAGTCGGAGCTTTTCACATTTTACCAGGAGCTGTGGATCCCCGTGACCGTGATGCACGGCACAGGGCCGGGGAAATATCTGTGCAAGGGACATTGGGTAGGTGGTGCCATGAAGAACAATTAGTACTGCTAGCTACTCCCTCCGTTCCAAAATAGATGACCCAACTTTGTACTAAGTTAGTCCAAAGTTGGGTCATCTATTTTGGAACGGAGGGAGTAGATGGGTATGGACGACGACGACGTGACTAAGCATGAATGGGTCGATGCATCCATCGTCACACATTGATGGCTTGCATGTTAGACCGCGCCATATCGAATGCGTTTGTACGTTGCGGCGCAAATTAGGCTCCATGGTACGCATGGACATGGGACATGCATATGTCTCTTCTCTTGCTTCGATCGTCATAGTGACTACATGGAGCTACACGATACAATATGTGCTGAGGAGTGAAAGAGAGGCGTGGGGCGAGTAATTCCGGACGGAGGATGCGAGAATTCATGAGAGTCCATGTGCTGCTGCTAGTTGCATACGCCACACCCGGATCGCATGATGTGCTATAATAAATCAACCACATGTCATGCATGAGAAATCCACTCAGAAAAAGAGGGTAAAACCCCCCGGCTGGCTTGTGCATGGATGAATGCACACGGACACCCATGACCTATCCGTTCAAGTAACTTGGAGTGAGTTAGTTTAGCAAGAACCTCTGCCTCGACGCGTTGCTTGGCGGAGTGGGCGTCCATGGCTCGCACGAGCAGGTAGATCCTCCTCACGTCTGGCTGCACCCGGAGTATCTTCTCCACAAGAACTGCATGACACGGAAGGCACGCATAGTTAGTCGTACAGCGCATGGATCCGATCAGTGCCGCGCACAAGCCGTCCTCTCGTTAATTAGCCATGCATCATGCAACTTGCTCAGTTGCTTGCATGGGGCAGTAGAGTAGAGTACGTACATGGCTTAAGCACGTAGGAGTAGTACGTAGGTAGCTGTGGCAGCTAACTCAGCTAATAACACGTATAGTGCCCTACTTAGCAGTCGGCTAACTTAACTAATACTCGATCGTGTACTTACTCTTTCCGAGGAAGCCAGTGGCGCCGGTGATGAGGATGCTCTTGCCCTTGAAATACCCTGCGATCTTCTCTGCGTCCAAGCTGCCATCCACCATCACCATCCTTCTTCTCCTTCTCCTCCGGCTCCTTGTTTCCTCCTCTTGGCCCTTTTCCTCCTCCAGAGACAAGGAGACACAACCAGATCTGGATTGAGAAGCAGAGCCCTGCCACTAGAAGAAGGCTACGAGTAGTGGTAGTGATCCAGTGAGGAGTGGCCGGTGACTGCAGGCGCACACACTACACGTATTTATGCAGTTGGGCAGTTGCCAAGATAGGGCATGCAAGCCAAGCACGTACAGATCCAGTGTCAACGAAATTAAAGACCGTGCGGCACAAGGGCTTAGCTAGCTCTGGTCTGGACCCGCCGGAGTACGTGACGATGGATGCCTAGAAACAGCTGGCAGTGCTGTGCACATATGCACACTGCCTTCCGTATGTACTACCGGTATGTTGTTACTACCGCTCTTTCAAGAATCCTTAATTAAGCACAACAAACTATTACTAGCGCACATTGCCTTCGATCTCGGCTCAACAAGCAGCTAGGAGTACCAGTTTTAACCAAGGGCCTCAATCGTTTAATTAATCAAGTACTTCCTCCATCCGGAAATACTTGTCCGAGGAATGAATGTACCTAGATGTATTTTAGTTCTAGATACATCCATTTGTATTCATTTCTATGACAAGTATTTTTGGACGGAGGGAGTACGCCCTATCGAGCCTGCATCATGCAACAACATGAAAACTACAGTGTATACACCGGTACTAGTTCACCAATAAAGAAATGGTCATCTATTCTTAAGGGCCCCTTTGGTTTACAGGAATCTTGTAGGAATTTTGCTGAAAAAATTTATTTGAAACCCTTTGGTTTGTAGGAATGGATTCCTACCTGAATTCAATGAATTTTTTTCTATAATATACATCAAGTGACATCTTTTTTCATATAGAAATTAAGATACATATCATCTCATTTTCTAAGATTTTTCCTATTCCATAATATTTCTATCCTATGAACCGAAGGAGGCCTAAATACTTGTAATTCACTACCTAGGTTGTCTGTCCATGCAACCATATGCCACATAAGTACAAACGTAAGGACACAAGACCAATAAAGGGCAGAACAAGGGTTTCACACCGGACATGAAGTAGTGTTCCAACCACCACCTTGAAAATGGATCGGTCGATAATAATCCAAGCCAGTACTCCACAAACAGGCCATTGAGGCGCGAGCAGATGGGTGGGAGGTGGGACATCTCCCCCCATATCATTCGTAACCGTTGATTGGGGAGGAGGGGGGATGCCACGACGCGGACTTAGCACTAGTGCAGCAATGATTATAGACAATCTACATTAGTGGCATGCTAAAACTACAAAACGACGCTGGTAACGGCGGGAAGAAGATGAGGCACGCCACATGTGTGTGGGGCCCATGAGGGTCTAGTACCTAGGGATCGACACTATGCAGATCTAGCTAGTATCCTCTGCTAGCATTCGCATAATGACGATCCTACAACACCACAACTTCACACAACGAACATGTCGAAATCGGTTCGCCATGTGGAAGAACAGTCAATATCACAACACATGGGTGCTCTAGTAGCCCCACATATCCAAAACCGAAGTAATCACACTTCTAGTCGGCACTAACCTACTATTGCGCACTGTTGCCGCCACACCACGCCGCCCCCTTTGATCACTGCCACTCGCCACTAATGCACGTCACGCCACCTTCATCCCCATCTGACCATTGCCCCTCCAATTGTCACTCGACCGCGTCTACCACGAGGAGCTTCGTCGTTCTCTTCACTAGCAACCACGAGGCTTTGTTAGTCATCAACCTCCGGAGGCGACGAGAAGAGGAGGGACGTCGGTGACGATCTAGGGTTTGCCCTACAGTTGCCTCGAGGGGGGGAGGGGGTCGATTAAAAATGCGGGTAGTTTTCACATCAAGGTCGTTTGTTTGGAATATATTAGTTAAACCTGTGATCAAATCCTATATTATACCAACACATTTATCTTTACATGCAATCATATCACCTCGACATATCTCAACATGCAACCATGCGAAAAAAGGTCAACCTCAATATACAATCATGCATGCAAAAATACTTGAAGTTTTATTTATATTATGCTACTTATCTATACCAATATAAAAAGACCTAAAGGGGTAGATCCAACTGATCTCGATCATCGAACTAAGTCAATCCAACGATCTAGACTGCTCCAATGGCGAGCGTTAAACGTGTTTAACGTGCAATTAATATCATACCAAATATTGCACTAATCACAAAATTAATATACAATAATAGCATACTTAATATACGCGTGCAATTAATATATTGTCTAAATATTAGTTTTTTTTCAAAATGACCACTTGCCCAACGATATTGCTAGAAAAGACCCCCTTCAAATGAAATTGACAAAAAAGACCCCCTCACCGTGGCGGCAGGTGCGCCAACCGACATGTGGCACCTGCCGCCACACCAGCAGGCGGCAGAACTGTTCATTGCACTATTCACACGGGGGACGGTTTTACGCAGTAGAACGGCAACGGGACGCGAGTGAACAGTGATGCCGCCTTCCTGTGTGGCGGCACCACTGTTCATACGGGATGAACAGTAAGTTTGAAAAAAATGCAGAAAAAAAATCAAAAAACTCTGAAATTTTGTACCCACTTAGAATGCTAGATCGTCTTTGCTGACAAAAAAAATCCATATTTTTTTGAAATTTTCTGCTATTTTTTTTATTTTTTTTGAAAAATACTATTCATCTTGTATGACCAGTGAACAGTGCTGCCGCCTCCTGGTGTGGCGGCAACACTGTTTAGTCGCGTTCGTTGTCGTTCTACTGTGTCAAAACCGCCCCTCCCTCCCTCCCCCTCGCGCGCGCGTAAACAATGCCATGAACAGTTCTGCTGCCTACCGGTGTGGCGGCAGGTGCCACGTGTCGGCTGGCGCGCCTGCCGCCACGACCAAGGGGGTCTTTTTTGCCAATTTCATCCAGCGGGGGTCTTTTCTAGCAATTTCGTTGGCCAGGTCGTCCTTTTGGGCAAAAAATCTAAATATTAACGTGCGTTGCATGTGTGCATTTACTAGTATTCAATAAGTATTTTATAATTACACAATGATCGTCTGAATTTTTTATTTTATTCTTATATTATTAATCTAAATATTCATATTCATGTAATCAAATTTCATAGAAATTTAGTATTACGTACAAACAATTTCCACAACCAAGGAGACTTGTAGACCAGTGGTAAGGAGGTACTCCCTCCGGTCATTTTTACTCTGCACATTGGATTTGCCGAAAGTTAAACTTTGCTAAGTTTGATCAAATTTATATTAGAAATTATTAGCATCTATAATATCTAATAAATATAATATGAAAATACAGAATCTAATGATATTGGTGTTGTTATGTGAATGTCTATATTTTTTTTATATAAACTTGGTCAAAGTTGGACAGAATTGACTTCGGACAAATCTAATATGCAGAGTAAAAGGCTGGGACAACATTTGCAATTATTCTTTTCTTATACGACAAGCAAGGGTTTGATGATTGCCGTTACATTAATTAAGCAGCATTAGATGGCTCGCGAAAAGGTGTGAGTGAGGTCGTGATCTCCACCTTGTATGCACATACTGTACTGCACTTGGCTGATGTCATCGTCTGTGGCTCCCCTGTAAGTTCGCAGAGGGAGCACCGTGCTCCTATTGGTACTGTAATGGCTGGGTTCGTCAGATGCATAAATAAAAATTAAGTAGGAGCAGTAGTGGCGTGCAGTGTGATCTGTTCCACACATTTAAATTAGCTAACTACTCCTACTTCCCTAGTGTCGTGGTTTGGCTCCTGGGTCTATTGAAGCTAGTTAAAAAACATATTTTAGAGTTATAGAACTTTTTGACAAAGGCCCGCTGAATGAATAAATGGTATTATTATGATCATATTACAAAGTATATCCACTCAAAAAAATCACAAAGTATGTGATCATTTATTAGCCATTATTTGTTCTAGATCATCCATACAGTATAGCTTTATCGAACAATTTATTAAGCATCGGCGTCTATATACCTGTAATTTATCATTTATAGATACGTCCATTTGTGCACAATAGAAGAAATAGAAATATGTAATCTACAATAGCAGATAATACATCACATATCCATTTCTGAGCCCAGACTCATCTACACCCGGTGATGAGAAAATTCAAAAAATCTGAATTTTTTCATGAAAGATAATTTGGTGCGTGAGGTGCGCTCCAAATTTTAGATTATTTAGACATATAAGTAGCTCTCAGCAAAAAGACAAATTGAGTCAAAACAATACATGAATAGTAAACTTTTTCACATGTCCTAATTTTTTTCGAGAACTACTCAAATGTCCGAATGATCAGATATTTGGACCGCACCTCACGCGCCAAATTTGTTGGGAACGTAGTAATTCAAAAAATTTCCTACGGTCACGCAAGATCTAATTAGAAGATGCATAGCAACAAGAGGGAAGAGTGTGTCCACGTACCCTCGTAGACCGAAAGCGGAAGCGTTTAGTAACGAGGTTAATGTAGTCGAACGTCTTCATGATCCAACCGATCCAAAGCACCGAACGTACGACACCTTCGTGTTCAGCACACGTTTGCACGATGATGTTCCTCGAGCTCTTGATCCAGTTGAGGACGAGGAACAATTCTGTCAGCACAACGGCGTGGCAACGGTGATGATGAAGTTAGCGGCGCAGGGCTTCACCTAAGCACTACGACGATATGATCGAGGTGTTGATCTGTGGAGGGGGGCACCACACACAGCCAAGAGATTGTCTGTTATGCTATTGGGGTGCCCCTAGCCACGTATATAAAGGAGGGAGGGAGAGAGGAGGCCGGCCAGGTTGGGCGCGCCAGGGGGAGTCCTACTTGGACTCCTAGTCCAAGTAGGATTCGGCCCCCGCTTTTCCTTTCTTCCACCGGAGGGAAAGGAAGGAGGGGAGAAGGAGAAGGAAGGAGGGGGCCGCGCCCCCACCCCTTATCCAATTCGGTTTGGGCAGGGGGAGGCGCGCTCCACCTCGTGGCCCT